TTGCTAGGAAGGGCCGTGACTAAGGGAGCATCCTGTTGGATGGATGGGTGAAACTGATTCCCCCACTAGATGGGCTAGCATAGTTACTGGTAAGAAGGCTGTATCGGTGGCTTCTCTTCTGGTGATGCAAGTCACACCTGCATCATGTACTTGCAGTAGCTTTCTCTTCCCCAGCATGCTTAGCCAGCATTCCCCACCCATTTGCAATATCCCAATGTCCAGCAGGACTCCATCGTCAGCCCCTTCTCGCCATCTTGTATGCCCTTTCAGAAAGGGGTGGTCAGCCATGTCCCGGCTGCTTCTGTACTTGACATCCACATTTCCTCTTCATTCTTGATGCATGTTTAGGGCAGATGTGTGTGGCAGAGTGTTTCAGGGCACATGTCCATAACACCATCGTAACAGAAGGCCATAGTCAAGTTTCCGCTTCTCGTGGACTTAGCTGAAAAAGTTATAGCACTTTAAAAATGCTTAAGTGACATTGCATTTTCAAAAGCAAGCGGAAACCCTTCATCTCATATTTTTGATCTACAGACATACCAGTACATATTTTTTTAGAGAACATTCTAAGACATACTCGCAGAGTTCCACGAACAAGGTTTTCTCAACACTGCTTTTTGTTCCTCTAATTGTTATTTTGGTAGGGCATTGTAAAATGGCATCTACTTTTTGGTTGATATGTACTTTTTACGTCTATAATAAAATTTGTTTATTATGGTGGCCCGTTCCAGCAGGCTACGCTGAGAAGGCAGAGGCCGGACTGGGCTACACCTTGGGAAGCCAGGAATGGTGGTGCACACCTTCAGTCTTCATGTGCAGGATGCAGAGGCAGGCAGATCTCTGAGAACTGGAGGTGGGGCTTGTCTTCATAGTGAGTTTCAGGCCGCCTAGGGCCTATGCTCAGCAGGTTTCATACTGAGACCTTGTCATATCTAAAAAAAAAAAAAAAAAAAAGGGTTTAATGGGGAATTTACATTTTAGAATATCAGTTTTTCAACAAAACTATATACCCCATACACGAAATATTATGCATATGCATAATTTTTACTAGAAAAGAGCATGAAATATACAAGATAAATAGTTGATAAATCTGTGTATTCACTGTATCTTTCTCGTTCTGTTACAGAGCTTGTGAAGATTTGCTGTAGGAATCAGGTTTATCGCATGGCTTATCTTGGCAGTACTTTTATGTTTTCAGTACTGGGGATTGAACACAGGACCTACGGCTTGCTAGGCATCTACTCCACTACTGGGCTATATGTTTCAGCAGCTTGTTTTGCCTATCCACACCAGGTAGGAGGTGAAGTCATACGGACAGTGTGTGGTAGATTAAACCTTTTATGATCAAGTCCCGCTGCATCTCCCTTTTTCTTGAGACAGGGTCCTACCACAGAGCCCTGGCTGGCCTGGCAGGTTGACCTGTGAGTCAGAGTTCTGCCTGCTGGGATGAAAGGCAAGCATCACCACTCCCTGCTTCTACAAATGTTTTCTGTCACAATTCTTTGTAGAAGCAGCTTTCTGGAAATTTTACTAGGTAATCTAAAATATGACTAAATAACAAGCACATAGAAATATGAAATAGAGTTGAAAGGTATTTTCTTTATTAAATAAAGTAGTAGTGTCTATGGAAACCTAATCTCTAAATTCCTTCCTTCCTTCTTCCCTCCCTTCCCCCGTTTCTTGTTTCAAGAAACTAATCGACACTGACCTTTCTAGGCGGTAGGTTCTGAAAAGGAGTTAGCTTCTGGGTTTCATGGCTAACAAGGCAGAACTGCTCTCCTGTGTAGAGGCTTCTGTGGACAACAATCGACACCAATGTGCTCTGGCTGCCTTCGCTCATGATACCCTTTACCTGTATATTTTGTTTAAGGAACATCCTCTGAATTGATTTATTCACTAGAATGGTTTGTAAGTTGGCTTGCACAATTATAAAACCACAATATTTCAACATTACACTAACTTGCCAAAGTATGGAAATTATTGGGAGTCAAGTGATCTGCTGGTTATTAAACATAGTTGCTCTGTTTGAGTAGTTTGCTTTTCTTAGATGCATTCATCTTGTTCCTGGTTCTATTTATTTTCTGGGGCTTGTGCGCATTGAGGCAGACAAAGGTTTATTGCATATTGTTGGTTGTAGAATTTGGTTTCTAAAAATATTAAAAATAAATTTCAAAGGGCTGGGGATGTAGTTCAGTTGGCAGAGGACTTGCCAGGCATACAGGAAGCCAAGTGTTCAAACCCCCAGCACTGCATAAGCTGGAAGTGGTGACCCCCCCCCCCCACAGTCTACTATTCTGGAGAACAAAGGGAGGAGGTTAGAAGGTCAAGTCATCTCTGGCTACTTAATGACAAGGCCAGCCTGAGATGCAGGAGACTGTCAAAAAAGAGAGAAAAACAAAACAATAATCTAACTGCTGGTTCTTATTCTTTAATATATAACCATTTTAACACATTTAGAAGGGGAGATCAGGAGCTAAATATAAAGTGGAAACAAATTCAAAACCGATCAGCAGATTATAAAGTCGCCTCATCCAGGGCAGCCTTCTCTGGTGTCACACACAATCACCCTTCACCGATTCTGTTTCTGTAGGGATGTGGTTAACAGAACTCATAGAATCTTAGGTTTTATTCCTTCTTTTCTATATCACGCCGTCATGCGTGACCAGTCATCGTGCTACCAACCAAGGAGGATCATGATTTTATTTTTACACACCACTTGACTTCTTTTTCCAATACGATGACAGAGCCCAGGGTCTCATGTGTGTTAGAACCTCTGTTACGGCTCAACCACAGCCTCAGTAAGCCCTGATTTTGAGACATGGTTTTCCCAAGTTGCCCAAGGATTTGCAATCTTCCAGCCTAAGTCCCTGTCCCTCATATTCAGGTTGGGGATTATGACTATCATGATGGCCATGTCTGTTTATTCTTACATGGGATATCACAACACATGATTCAGAGTATTATTTTGGTACCTTTTTCTTTTTCTTGAACTTATATAAGTCCTGATCTTCCTACCCCACATCCCTATTCTTGGAGCAGAGGCCTGGGCAACCACTCCCCACTTATCCTTGTGTCTCAATGACAATTACTGGAGGAATGGTTCAACCTAAAGCTTTTTTTTTTTTTTTTTTTTTTTGGCTAAACACAAAATAGTTCTTGGAGCATTTATGACTGAGAATCACAGGTATTTTGGATATTTCAGACTGCTTTTAAGCCTTTATCAATAAACTAATGAGTTATTATGAACTATAGTTTGGGAACCGATTCACTGCTCAAGCTGATATAGATGGAGCCTTTAAGTAAACCAGAATCCAGTGATAACTGACAGTGACTTAGAGCCATCTGTAAACCCTCCATTGTGCAGTGGCTTCTCTACGTGCAAACACGCACGCGTGCGCACGCGCGCGCGCACACACACATTTCCCATAAAAAAACAACTCTGTGGAGTCCATACTTGATTTCTAATAACTGGATTTTCCCTTTAGCAATACAGTACCATGGACATTAGTTATCTAATTGCTAGCTTTGCAAACTAATTCTGTAAGAGCCAGTCATTGCTCAGCAGGAATAAAGCTCTCAACTGTCAGAATCAGTTTACACTGCTGCTATCAGTAGGCGCTACATTGTGTGTGTGTGTGTGTGTGTGTGTGTGTGTGTGTGTAGGCTGGCAAGGGTCCTGAGCTGCATTGCCACCAGGGAACTCACTGCAATAAAAAACGAGTCCACACAGAAGCAGAACTTAAAGGCACAAAAGAACGGAACACCAGGTCAGGAAGACATATTCGCTCACATATGCTTCCCTGCAAACCGCCCCTCTTGAACTTCCAGCCGAGGACGAGGGGTCTATTGAAGAATTCATTCCCCATGGCACGGGTTCAACGCCCGGCTCCTGGGCTGAAAAGCGTCCTTATGTGGCTCTGCTGCGCTAGGGCCATCGCGGAACAGACAAAGCATGGGGGGCAGATGCTCTTCTCTCCCACAAAGGAAGAAATCCAACTGGCAGAGAAAAAACACATCTTCGCACTGGAAACGGTGACAGCGAACATAAAGAGGCCGCGTCAAATAGGGCGTATCACTTTCAGCCTCGGTAAGGGCTCTTCCTTCCAGCATGTCACAGAGAATGCCAGAATCAATTTTACCTGGATGAATGGGGATAATTAGCTCTTTCGAGATATGCTCTCCAGCGAACAAATATTTTTGGCAGGGAGGAGGGCATGAAAAAGACAAAGAAACAGACGTCTGTAAAACCCACAACATTTGCTGTTGAAGTTAAGTTTTACGTTTCTAGGTTCACTGGGACGCTTTAAAAGATTAAAAAAAAAAAACTCACGCTAATATCCTCCCTGTTCTTTAACTCTGGTCCGCTGTCTCCTCCGAGGTGGCATGCGCTCCCCGGAGACACAAAGGCCGCTGCTGCTCCCTGCCCAGGGCTGAGGAATGCGGGGGATTCAAACAGCACCCGGAGCCGGGAAAACATTTGCACTGACGCTCACCCACAACCATAATAATTTATCTTTCCTCTGGAGAAAGGTCAGCAAGCATCTGACCCCGGCAGCCAGTGCACCCCCAGGGGTCAGGGCCGCGGCGGGACGGCCAGCCAGTTCCGCCGGCCGCGCTTGCCCACGCCCACCTGTCCACCCGGCTCGGCAGCTCCGGCCCGCCCCAGCCGTCAGGACGCCGCGCCGCCCGGCAGCCCGCCACACCTCAGCCTGCTCAGGGCGGACCCGGCGCGCTCGTAGAACCCAGTGGCTCCAGTCGGGACCCAGCCGCTCCGGTCCGGAACCCCGCGGTCGCCAGGGCTCGGAACGCCGGCACGCGGCGCCGAGCGCGCGGACTCCCGGCGCGCTCCCGACCCCCCAACCCCAGCCCCGAGCGCGCGGCCACGCAGCAGCACCTAGCGGAGCGGCGCCGAGGTGCGCGGCGCGCACGCGCACGGGGACGCGCACGGCCGGCGCGCACGGCGGCGGGCGGGGGGGGGGGCGGCGCTCGGCGCACCGGCCGCGGCTGAGGCGGGCTGAGGGAGGCGGCGCGGGCCGGACGCGGGCCGAGCCCGGCGGAGGACGCGCGGGCGGCGGAGGCAGCGGAGGCGGCGGCCGCGGCGGCGGCTGTGGTGGGTGAGGCGGCCTGCGGTGTTCGGGCCCGGCCGCCCGTGAACAGGAGGAGGAGGAGGAGGAGAAGCGGCCGCGACCATGTCGGCGGGTGGCCGCGACGAGGAGCGGCGGAAGCTGGCCGACATCATTCACCATTGGAACGCCAACCGGCTGGACCTGTTCGAGATCAGCCAGCCGACCGAGGTAAGCGCCGCGGCCGCCGCCGCCGGGGCGAGGGGAGGGAGGGGGTGCGCGCAGGCCGGCGACGCGGAGGGAGGCAGAGCGCAGCGGGGTCCCGCGGCCGCCCCTCCCCCGCCGGCTCGCCCGCCAGACCGCGGACCCGCCCTCGCCCGCGGCCCTGTCCCCCTCGGCCTACGCCCACCGTGCTGGCCGGCAGAGTCCCTAGGGGGCCGGTCGTCCTTGTCGCCTCTCGCCGCGCCCCGCCGCCCGGGCGGGGTCCGAGGCGGCTCGGTGGTCCGCGGAGCGGGCGGGCTGGCCACCTGCGCCCGGGGACGCACCTGGAGCTGCACGCGTGTCCCTGGGACCCCCCTCCGCCACCCACGTGTGTCCGCAGACCCCACCTGTGTCACCGAGCCCCGTTCTAGGCGGGTCCCCGTGTCCTCATAGCCCGCTGGACTCCACCTGGCCGCCCACCTGTGCCCGCACAACCCACCTGTACCTCCCGGGCCCCACCTCCCCCACGCGGCCCGCTGCGGGCCGAGGGCTTCCCTCCCCTGCGGGGTCCCCCGCGCCCCGGGGCGGACGTGTCCCTCGTCGCCGCGGCCAGCGTCTTTGATGGCGTCTTCCTAGTGTCGGGACGCGGATCTCTGCCCCCCTCCGCGCCCGGCACGTGACCGGCCGGTGCTCGCGGCGGTCTGAGCCCCGGGCGCCCACTGCGCGCGTGCACCCGGGCCCGGCGGGGCAGGGCGGCGGGGCACCCCGGCTCCGGCACGGTACGGCGGCGTCTGGTCGTCTCCGAGCCGCGGGAGGAGTTCGGGGCGATTCTGGGGGTGGGGTCGGGTGGAGGCAGGTTTCTCGCCGCCTCGTACCCGAGGGATGGTGCGGACGGCGCTGGCTGGCTGGCGGGAAGCCTCTGTGACAGCGGGGATGATTGAGGCGGACTTCCACTACACCAGCCCACACTTTATCTAGGATTTGTGCTGATCAGGAAATAGCTCTAGTTGTGATTTGTTATAAAAAGAAGGTGCTTGTTTGACTACAGCAGCGCTTAGCTGCGAAAACGTGTTTGGTAGATTGGAACCATCTCTCCAGATTGAATCTTGGCTTTCACCTTTTGACTTAGTGTTGCCTGTGGAGGAAGGCTTGTCTCACCTTCTTGTGAGCACATTTGACCTAGTTAGATCCCTTCCTCTCGAGCCCTAATTGACAAGCTAAGGTAAATTATTAGGTTCAGGTTGCCAATTTGAACACCGATGTTAAGTTACTCCTGATTCATAATTCATCTTCTATAATGATTTTACGAGTTACGTTTTAGTAAGCAAATTTACTGTGTAGTTAGTGTTCATTCATAGAGGCTCTTTAGAAAGGAACCATCTAGTAATTTAGTTTCAACATTATCTTGTCTTTCAAAATAAATTAGCTTGATCTTTTTTAATGGCAGGATAAAATTTGGAGGTAGAATATTGCTAGGCATGTGGATTTTCTTTCTTTTTTTGAGAGTTCTTAAGTATGGTTAAAAGGCGTCTTTTCAGTCGAGAAGTAACAGTCAGCTCAAGTTTTAGTCTTAAATTGAGGCGTTAACTTTAAAGAATTTCAGATAAATTATTCGATTTAACTTGATCTACTGTATAAGCATTAAGTTGAAACTTATTTCGTTTTGAAGATATGAGCAGTTATTAAAGTTGGCACGCTTTTTGGGAGGCCTCTCCCCTCCCCAGGTTATTCTGCAGATGAAGAGTTATGTAGATAGTTAAAAAAATTAAAGGGCTTTAAAAAACAAGATTATCTTTTTCATATTACATTCCTCACATCTGAACATTTCCATTTTTAGAAATGACTTGTAATTGAAAGCTTTTCATAATGAAGTTTTTTTTCCAAAAATGTCTGATTTAATTTTTCTTAGCTTTATTGTTATGTAATGGCTAGCTCACATTTGTTTTATTTATTTATTTATTTTTTTTTGGCGAGTCTTTGGATACTATTAAAATCATTCTGTTCTTCAATTTGAAGCAGAGCTTTATGCTTAACACATTACATCATGAAAGTAAATTCAGTCCTCTAAGGCAGTCTTAGGCCAGTGCATTCAGCCTGGTTTGTCAAAGCTTCAGAATAATTTTGCCATCTAATGCTTGCTTTTTATTCCATCTGGCTGTTACAAATCAAGCAATCTTCTACAAGAGGATAGATATTATACCAACTCTTAGTAGATATTCAGTAAACATTTTTCAGCCTCACTGCAGAAGTTGATTTGTGGAAGAGTTAGGCCTTATATTTGTTTAGTTGGTCAGTCTTATGTTTGTAAGAGTATGGTGAATTTTTTCTTCTGTTTGCTTATGTTTGGTATAGTGTTCAGTATCTGTTACCACATTTAAACTCCATCAGTCATCTGTGACTTGGTTCCTGGCAGCTTTGATCACTGCTGATAATTCTTTGCTTTCTATATAAGCAAGATGATAAACTTGAATTATATCTACTTTTAAAGAAAATTAGAATATGTTTTGGCACCATCCTGGATAAGTTTGCCTTTTCCTTCCCGCTCACCTTTTAGCATAAAGGGGCACTTTGAAGGAACCAGCAAGTTGCTGTTGACGACTTTTCAGTCGTTCCCTTACTTGGTCCTAGGTACTTCATGAAAATAAAGAGTTCACGATCTACGCAGAGTGTTAACGTTTTATGGCTGGGAGACTGATGTTAAGCTGAATTAATAACTTGACCACCGTAGAAGCTAATAAACATGTTCTCGAAGCATTTTCGGACTCTTTTCAAGTTAGGGCTTCATTGCTTTTGGGATATCTGATGATTTATGATGGCAGAGTACCCCTGCAGCTCTTCAGAGGAGGGCCTCACCAAGAGTTGTCATCAAACTTACTGGGTTTTCTCCCTCTCATTACACAAAAGTAAGAAATGTGTGGAAAGAAATACTACGGTTTTCTTTGTGTATGCCTTTATTCCTGACAAAATATTTGGTAGATGCTTGTAAAAGTTTATTGAATATGGTTTACGTAATAAAGATTTTTTATTTTGCATAAAGCTTATACTGATAAGCTTTGCTAAGTTATTGAGTTTTTAACTTCATGTGATACCTTTTGGTCATTTGTTTATTTAGGTTTTTTTTTTTTTCCTATGGAGGAAAAATAGCCCACAATTTGTGTGGACACCCACATATGCTTTATTGTCGGTGAACATGATTCATTCTGATTCCTTGGTTAATCTTAGAAGTCATGTGATGATATTACCTGAAAGATGTGTGCAAAAAATAACTTGGAGATTGCTGTCAGAGGTGGACTAGGAAGTGAGTGTGCTAATTGCATAGCTTTTTGTAGCTACATCTTTATTCTAGACTGATGCTTAGGTTGTAATGATGCTTTGTCATACTATCTAATTATATTTGAGATTTTTAAGGGAACAGTGGTAGTTTAAGTATTGGTACTGATAAAAATCTTTCTTGTAACTGTAAGTGAAACAGGTGATTTTTAAGATTAAATATTTATAGGCATCCTGTTGTTTCTTTTCTTTCTTTAGTTTCTTTTTTTTTTCTTTTCTGATTTTTTTTCCTATGTAACAGCCCTAGCTGTCCTGGAACTTAATCTGTTATGTAGATTAGGCTGACCTCAAATTTACAGAGATTTGCCTGCTTCTGCCTTTCAAATCCTGGAATTAAAGAGCCCTGTGACGGTACCTGGCCCTCCTGTTATTTTTTTATTGTTGCTGTTTGAGACAGAATCTCCCTAAGTAGCTCTGATTAGCCTTGGTGTTAATGGGGGGTGGGGCAGAGTTTTCCCAAACTTTCTGACTTGTGTAAATGCTCTATACCCCCCCATTTCTGTTGGAAATTCACACATAAGTGGAAGTTGGAGAACTGCCAGTGCCTGATTTATACTCCCTGTTTTCCCACTTACAATCATATACTTAGGTACTGTTTGACTTCATGGGGGGAAGAAGAGAAAAATGATGTTCACAAGGAAATGTTTCCCATGGTGGCAGTTCTTAAATTCTGCACTCCTGCAGCATGCTAGATGGCTGTCTGGGTCAGGTTGGTGTCTTCAGACATACCAACCAGTTAGGTGTCACTGGCCTTCTGCAAGCATCCCCATAGCAGTTCTCCATACCAGATGCGGGAAGGGGGTTTGAGAATTAGCAGCTGACATCTTGTGGTGTCTGATTCTACAGAGTGCAATAGCAATAGGCCTGCAATGACAAAGTTTCTTCATGTCAGAATGACGCTGAACTGTTGTGGAAGGTTTCTGTAGCTCCTTGTTTTCTGGGAGCTTTGTTACTGGTGAGTTTGCAGCAGTCTGTTCTGCAGCAGTCATGGAGCAGGGACATCACTTACCTTGTCCTCTTAAACTGGTGCTTGGCAGCCTACACACAGCACTGGTATAGTGGTGACTGCTTAGGTACATAGGTTAGAATGGCATTTAGACCAGTTTTAATTCATTGTTCTATGCCAGAGAAAATGAATGCAATTTGTTGGCCCAGTAGAATATTTTGTAACTGTATATTTTTATGGAATTTTAACTGATTAAATGATAACATTAGACTATCATTAGACGTTGGCCTTCATATTGAAAAAAAATGTTTACTGTTATGTTATTATGGGTGAATTGAGTAATTGTAATCTGTAGAGCATTATTGCTAGACATTGGTTATTATTCTGGTGCATAGGGTAACTTGTTTTTAAACAGTTTTGCCAGACTTGAACTTTGGGGTAATGTCAGAAAATGATATAACTATTTAGATATAAACTTATTTTCTGTTATTATAAAAGGGAAATCTATGCTAAAAACTGTAGTGCCTTAATAATTGAAAGTTATTTCCACATTAGGGAGAGCACTGGTTGTTGAGAAGTTTGGCTAGCAGAGCTTATATGTAGACTTAGCTCATTTACCTAGAAGATGCCTAGGACAAGCAAGCATTGGTGTTTGTGCTTGGTTTGCATTTATACTTGTAAGATAGATGTAGGAAGTGTTCCTACACACGTAACATACATAACTACGTACAAGCTACAAACATCCCAATGATTC